TAGATTAGATCTAAGGAAGAAGTTCTTCACAGTGAGGGTGGTGAGGCACTGGAATGGGTTGCCCAAGGAAGCTGTGAATGCTCCAACCCTGGGGGTGTCCAAGGCCAGGTTGGACAGAGCCTTGGGTGACATGGTTTAGTGTGTGGTGTCCCTGCCCATGGCAGGGAGTTAGAACTAGACGATCTTAAGGTCCTTTCCAACCCAAACCATTCTATGATTCTACGATTCCATGACTTCCGTGCTACCTCCTCCTCATGGTAGGTGTTACCTCTCTCAGAGCCTGCCTCTCTCCTCTCCTCCGCTTCTGGTATTGCCTCCCCTACCGAGGACACAAGAACTGCCTGTGTGAATGCTCTGGAAACTTGGAGGAGCATTACAGAAAGTTAACTCTGGTTGGAGCTACCTCTTTTTTGACAGCAGTTGCCAGTAATCTGGGAGATGGTAATAATACGCACTTTCACCTGAGGAAGCAAGAGTGACTGAAGGGGGATACACCACAGAGCAGCCAGGTAGATGGCTCCGAGGCAACGAAAGCTTAGGGGAAATCTTTGGGTCTGAAGCTAGAATGCCTATTCGGGGTGCTAAAGCAGTCTAGTGCTTAACTAGTTGCTGGATTCATTTACCCTAGAAACAAAAACCAGTGAATTAGACTTACTTCTAAATTTTAGAAAGACATAAAGGTCACAAGACACTAAACGCCCACTGCTTAACAAAAATCTTTGTGCTTGTATTTTCCACTGAAGAATGGCCACACTATATCAGCAGACCTGACTCCATCCAGCCCAGTCTCCTGTGGCAGCAGAGGAAAGCATACCTGTAAAAAGCCATATCCCGAGGTTTCTGCCAAATATTTTTTGAGCTCTAAAGCACTTGTAGCTTAGGGACCCTTCAGTGGAAGTAGGATCTCTGAGTTCAAATACTCAGGAGAAATATCCACAGAGGGATCTGGCTAAACAGCTTGTGTATGGAAAAAGCTTACATGAATTCAAACAATCTTCTGGGAACAAACTGCACAGTTCAGTTTATACACTGTACAAAAAAGGGCCACTGTCTCTATTTGGAGACTCCTGAGATGATCCTGTTGCCTGCCTGTCCTTAAATTAGAGCCAGAAGAGAATCGAAGGCTTTTCCTGCTTTTGTATGCACTCAGTTGTATCAGTCTTTATTCTTCCTCCCATTGCTTGGGTCACCTCTTGTCCAGGCTAGGAGATAAACTATAAACTGACTGACTAATCTTCATGAAATTAAGTGTTGCAGGACACCAGAGTATAGGTCTGAAAACATTTTAACTGCTTGAAAATGGAATGATATCAACATAATACTAATGAATAAAAAGACACATTTCTGAAGATCACAGTTCTCTTTTCTTAGTTCATTTCCAGAAAATAATAGTAGCTATATTTTGATCTCAAATGGACATCTCAGTCACTATTAAGGTACTTAGTACTTCAGTATCCCATTTTGGCCATTAGTCAGTACTTAGAAACCCAAACAAATGTAACAATAATTGCTTTTGGTCCAGACGTTAGGAAATAAGTGATGTCTCAATCTTGGACTTTACTTACTTTAAGGAGGAGTCTCCAACACCAAGACATCCTCTCAGACTAAGTTGCCTCAGGAACCCACCACACCTTTTCGATATGTTTTCCACAACTCGACCCTTAAACCAAACAGAAGGAAGATTTTGTTAAGTTTTATTCTGATGTAACATTCTAACCAAATTAAAAATGCTGGGAGTGAATACCCACCCCAACTCTACCCCACCGCAACTACACCTCCTTGAACAACTTCTGCTGCTTTAAAGAAAAACAGTTGCCTGATGAGACTCTCCACCCAGACTGAAATGCTATTCAATTCCACCTTTAGTTCCCTCTCCCTTTTTTCAGTCTATCACACGACTCAATTTTTTGTCTCAGCAATAACTATTCATTAAGGCTGTTGAAATGATCTTCTGTAGGGAACCTGAAGAACTGCCCTAGAGGTTGACTGGGAGGCATGCCCATTCCTCAAGGATCACAGTTACTATTATAGCATCTAAGTTGAAATTAACCACAAGGACTTGCTTAGGCTAGTACATCACTGAACTACAGCCTCTGACACGACCCATTTTACAGTTCCTCCTGCAGGGATCCGCCTGAACCCACCTGCCAGTCTTCAATGTCATATATATTTGAGTCTTTGTGCTTAATACTTGGGAATGCCAAAGAATATCACAGGCTTTATGCCTTGTTACTTGTTCAAAGCTGAAGCACAGTTTACACACAAAACTTCCTACTTGACCCCACATTTGCTATAAAATGCTTTTTATTTACATCCCAAAAGCAAATTTTGTTATAAATCAGGAGTAAGAAGAATAGCACAGTACTTCTAATATTCAGTCTGAAAGTAGCAGTAGGCAAAAATGTTACTTAAACTCCAATAAAAATATACTTGTTTATTTTTATATTTATTCAACATTTTTAAGAAAAATAAGACAGCAAAAAGCAGGTGGCTACTGCAAAAAAATACTAGACATCACGTTGTGTCTAATTTTAGGGAGGTAAGGTAAGAGAAATCAACACTGATCATTTAACAAACACGACTAATACCTAATAGCACCTTTCATTTTCTTTGATTTCTTTTCTTTCTGTTTTTAAGAAAGAATACTTATAAAATTACAGGTCAATAGATTTTTGTTTGTTTATTGTTCACCTCCAATACCAAAAGTCTTAGTTATCACTATGTGAAAATATTTTCTTATGGGAGCTTGTTTCTTAGTCCATAAGCAACATTGTTTACATCTCAGAAGAATTTACACCAAAACAAACTGAAAATCACTATACGAAATTATGTATTTTTTAAAGCTTTCTGATTAGACAAAATTCTTTCTCAGCAGAGGCCAAGTACCTTTACTGTACAGACAGTGTTCAATGAATAACATATAATGGGAGTTCAATCTACATTGCAGGAAAAAGCCAAACCCTACTGCGTTATTCAAAGAACACAGAAAAAGATAAAGAGAAGTTTTCCCAAACCCATTTATTTCATTAAGCATGTAAAAAAACCCAACAAACAGTGGTTTTAAAAAGTCAAATGGATTCAAATGTGTATAGCTGTTTGAATAATTCAGTGTCACTCAAAAACCTAGATTTTCAGATTACCTCAGCTTACATTTGGTTCCACATACCAAAAAATCCTCAGGCACATTAAACTTCAAGATGATCTTTACACATCTTCGTTATAGAAAATAAACATTTTTTTATAGTTCCACCTCCCTCTTTGCCCTCTACCACATGAGGTCTTAAATATGGAATATTTCACAAAACCTGATTTTTCCTTATTTGATAGTCTCAGATCAAGTACTGATCGATGCTACGTGAAACATCACCGAACAGTACAATGCAAACTGAGCAAAAAACTGCTAGATACAATTAGCAGCTTTTACCTGTCCCAAACCTATAGGCAAAAAATGTTACCAAAACAGCTGAAGAAAAAAACCCAGAGTTCTTAGACACCAAATGTGAGAGTACCGTGTTCAAAACTACTTTATGTAATAACAGTTGGTTTAACGTACTCTTATGAATAAATGTAAGGGGTTTACATTACAAATATACTTAAATATAATATACTGAACTAAATTGCTCCAAACCACAACAGCTTCTTATAGCAGAAGAGGATCACAATTTAATTTCCTCCCTTCTCCTGAATCCCATGCTACAAACATAGTATCTCAAAAGGCAACAGCAAGACAGTGTCTCAAAGGTACTACGTAAGACAAACATATCGAAAACGTTAAAATCCAGTACTGTGTTTCTAAACAGAAGAAAGGTTTCAGACACAGAAAAGGCCTACCAACAGAAGGACCACAGAGCCACAGAGTTTCCTTCATTATTTCTTAGGAAATGAGAAACACAAACTTCTTTAAAAGTAACTGAAAAGATTACGTTAAAGCTCCAAGTCTTCTTAGGCACATTTAGATAGAGGCAGATGCCAAAACTCTTTCTACTACCTCTGCAAGATCCTCATGTTTAACATCAGTATAGCAGAGGAGCTGGCAACAATTTTTTAAGAGCGGTGAAAAAAATTTATGCTATATATTACTGTAAAGCTTGAGGAACAGTTTGAACCATGGTTAGCAAAATATATCAAATGAAATCCATCTGGATTTTATTCATGCAACTAAGAAACTATAACACAAAACCCAGAAGCAAATTCATTATTGTATTCTAAATTTAATTTGTACCAAACAACAAATAATAAGCCAGTTCAGATTCAATTTAGGAATTGTATTTCACCATGGATTTTTGTCTTCATTTTCCAATATCCTATTTTATTTTGTTATGCACACCTATGATAATATTAATGCTGATATGTTTTTCTTACAGAAGACAAGACTGCCCTAACCATTTCATTAAATGCTGAAAAGGACTTTAATCCACATGTACCTGCATTTCAGGCAAGGTCCAAACCTCATAAAGCAAACGTTCATAGAATGGTAATCAGATACACACCAAATCAAATCTAGACATGTAAGCGGTAAGAAAAGTTGTTCAGCATTTCATTGTTTCAATCTCAAAATCATACAGAAAAACGTGCAGAGAGCTTTCAGCACTAGACGGCATCCTCACAGAGAGGCTCGACCAGCAACAAAATTGCCATCTGGCTGGTCAAACTGATTCCGAGGATCCAGACACACCATTTGTACCTTTACTTTCTGGAAGCGAGCAGCTTTGAGTTTCTAAAGCCTTGTATGTATAGGATATATGCCAATTATGTGATACATAGCTGGGAACCAAAACTGAAACACTCATCCAATGTGAAAAAAGACAAATACAGAGTTACTTTCCATGTGCTCCTTCACAGTACTGTCCTGAACTTCGGGATAGTGAGCACGAGCGCAGCCCATGCGATACTCAAAACAGGCTATGCTTTTAAACATCACCATATGAACAGGAAGAAAGTAAGGACACTAACCTCTATATCGGTTTGAAAGTTGAAGAGGTCTATTCTTTGCCAATTGCTTCCATCCAGAGCTAAAACATTCCATGCCTACAGAAAACAAACACAGTTTATTTATTACCTCCGTTGCCTGCTCCCTTTGTTTTCCTCTCAGCAACTCAAATATAACAAAATATACAATTTCAGGTTGAATTTTTTAAAAGAACTATAGTTGTAGATGTTACTAGTCATACAATATCAACTAGTTAAAAACATTGAATTTGTGGAAATGAATCTCACATCTCCCAAATGGATTACACTTCAGAAGCTAACTTATGCCTGTAAAACATGTAGGAAAGCAAGAAATTAAATGTAAAGTACATCCCTGGATACAGCAAGATCTAACCCTGCATTTTTAAAAAACTTCTGTAAATTCTATCTAATAAGTTACTTTTGCTAGCTCTATATGGAGAAAAGTAGCTGCAGACGAGATCCCATGCAATAAAACCACAGTTCTTCAACCTCACTAGTTACTATTCTGAGAAAAATAGAAACCTTTCAGAAAACTGCTGACTTTCCACTGTTAGAATCAGGCCTTTCCTTTACATGAGCTAGAGTTACACGTGAATGCTTGAGAATTTGTCCTTCTCTATCAAAGCAGAACTTGTTCAAAGTAAAATAAAACAAAAAAGCTAGAGAAACATAAATACATTCAAAACCAGAAGAAAATACTGCATCAAACTGACAGTCCTGAGAGAAAAATTCAATTGATTCAATCACTTTGGTTTTCTTCCACTGTTTTGTAGGCTTTACCTGAAGGTTCTAACAAAACCTGATGTTAACTGACTCACAAAGCTTACTAACCTTGCAAGCCAAGGTGATACGGGCGTAGAAATTAAGTAGTTACACAATTCTACATTAAAACAAGCAAACAAAGCAAAACAAACAGAAAACAATAAACCCCAAACAAAACAAAACCCAATCCTCATCAAGAGAAGGAAGAAAAGCATGAAATAAACACGTTCATTCACACTGTATAAGAATACACTTCGTTGTACACACTTGTGTGGGAACAGACTATTACTCATCTTAATTCAAGAAAAATAATCAATACAAGCTGAACATAAAAGCTGACTTAGCATGCTTTCTCTAGTATCTTCTGCTGCCTTTTTCCTCCATTAGTAGTCCATCTACTTAACACCTTTTGTACTTGGCAAGCGAATGATGAATGTATCTCTTAGACACATGGTGCACATTAACTGAAATACATGGAATTTCAAACAGAAAATACATCTGAAAAATAGTGTTATGCAGCCACGTGCTTTATAAACAGCAAAATGCCATCACATCAAACTGGGCTTAATCCTTCCTCCAGATACAGACCATGCACAACTAGATTCTCTTTTCCATATCCTTTAAACGAAAGTTCAGTACATAGCAACTAAGACCACATCTGAATGCAAAACTGTTTCCTTGTTTTAAGAAACAAATAGATTAAGAGAACTAATGTCTGGGGGCGATTTTTGGACAGGAAGCAGGTTGCCCCAAAGCCCATGATTTGCATATAACTAAGAGAATAGCATCCCTCAGAAAAACAAAAAACCCCAACAGAAATACATACCTTGGAAACTTGTGCGCATCGACACAAAGTAACTATGTCCAAGAAAGAAAATATTCTAGGAAGAAAGGCAAAGAACAACAATTAGAATGTTTTATTATAAAGTCAGACTAATACATGGACTCACAGTTCTGTAGGTCTATAAAAAGACGCTAGTTACACAAGAAGCAAGTTAAATGCAGCATGAGCATTTTATCAAATTAATTTGCTGATCAAGACTTAAGGAATAATATCACATCTATCATCTAAAGACAGTCAACATCAACATATTAGAACCAGCAGGTGCTTCTTCTGAAAAAAATCTACTTGCCATTTCCCCTTCCTTACTACCCAAACATAGATGAATGATAACAAATTATTTTTGTTCCTTTTAATTCAGAGAAACTAGCTTATATACCTTCAATTGGGCTGCAATTAAAGAAATAACTCACACAAATACAGGTGAAGATTTCAGAGGCTGCAGAAGAGTAAGAAATGGAGAACATCACAGATAAATTCAAGAATGTAAGTACTAACACAAAGAAAAATTACCCAAGCTTCTAAAGGGCTTTCACAGTCACTACCAAGTCTAACACAGTATTTTTCAATTTACTCTACAAGAAACAACTACAATTGAAAATGTAGCATTCCCATTCTGATCATGGAACCAATTCCTCAAGGCTGCCAACTTTTATTAGTTTTCTGAAAGAAATATTTCACTGTCAAAATAAATTTTGCTAAATACCACTTCCAGACAACAATGAAATTGGTTCAAAGGATGCGCCCAGTGAAGAAAAAAACCCAACAGCTTAAGCATAAAATACAGATCCTATTCCAAAATGATTCTCTATTACAGAGAAAGATACATATGAAGTATAGGAAAGATGTTACTGTGATTCACTTACAAACTGTTACCTTCTCGCCAACAAAATTTTTCAGTTATCAGAACAATTAATAGTAATAATAACAATTTCATCTTATAGTGAGATGTGAACACCGAGAAGCAAACAACAAGTAGAAGCAGCTGAATTTAATCATGTAAAATTATTATTTTCCAAGTAGAAATCTCAAGTGAGAGGTCAAAATGGATGCCTACATCTTAAGCACCGTGAATTTTAGCTGTGTTAAGAGTCAGGAAATGTAATGGAAGTTAATGGAAACACTTCTTAAACATAACAGCCTTCTGGATGTTTATGATGATCATTTTAGGTAATTAGTGTTTCAGTACTCATTAACACATGAAAAACTTTATCTTTTTCACTGTAGAGTAATACCTTGTCTTAAAAAACTATTAGCCATGAAAACAGATGGAAAGACATTCTCAGAAGCTATGAAACGATTTATAAAACCCTGTTGATAGCATTCATTTTGATAGCATCTATTTTTGTCATTTGAACATCCATTCTGAGGTCTGCTCACTTGCAAGAAACTTAGCAGCATTTTACGCAAAAAGTACACACTGATGTGCTCAGCAAAATTGCTGGACTGTTCAGATGAGCACTGCAAATGTTCTCACCCTTGTAAGAGCAGCATTTATAACAATGCCCCACCATGAACCCTCTTCTGAAGTCCCCTTTCCCATCCAGCATGAGGCAAGTGGCAGAAGATGAATGACAGAGATGATGCTGGAGACCTGCTAAAGCTTCTTGGCTTGTAGAAGCTTCCTCCTAGTACCACGGTACGAGTGTAATCAGAAGGTTATCTCAGATTTACAGAAGCTGAAGCACAAAAGACTTCTATGTTACTTACTACAAAGGAAGGTTTGTGACAAACCACACTGTGACACAATACTCTTGCCTAAATGAAGAACATGACATGCTTTAGAAGCGATGTATCTAGTTATACTGAAATATGAAACAACAGAAGAAATTGCAAGATGTTGAAGAGAGAGTATTTTATACTGCCAGAAGACTGAGTTGTCTGGCAGTCTGTCTTCATGTTTGATAGTTTATTGCTGTTAGAAGATTAAAAGTAAATGAAAACCAAATGCAGAACACATGTATTTATTTTCGCTCCATTCTGTATGAAGTGACTTTTTAAGAAGTCAAAACCAAAAAGTGTTCATTTGATGTTAGAAGGAAAAATGCTTTAGTAAGTGTAAACATGCATGATGCTTTTAGTTTTTATTTTTATTCTAAAGAAGAAACTTTCTTGCAAGGTGCTCCAAAACGACCCCATCATTGCTGGGTTATAATGCATCCTGATCAGAATTATTACTAAATTAAATATTAGGATAGGTAAGACATGCCAGTAAATTCCAGAGAGTCATTTTGCCAACTTGCTTGAAAGCATTTTTTCCCCACACTTCTCTGTTTACCTTCTGCAGTACAGGCTTACATGTGCACCACTAACACACACTTGCTTCTCTACTGCAGTCACACAGAAGTACTAGGAAATGCTTACCAGTCAGTAAAACTAGCCAACAAAGCACAAGACTTTAAGGTTTCAAATAATTTGAAGTCTTTTAAAGACTTTAAAGTTTTTAAGAGACTTCAAAGGAAACCAACAGAGATGGAGATAGCAACACTGACATTGTCAGTCATCTGTTAGCATTAGACACTGACATTGTCTGGCACTTAAGGGTAAAGGATTATGTCAGCAGGCACTTGTAATTTTAAAAAGTGGAAAAAACTACCAAGTAAGGCAGCTGATGGTTGTATGGCAGTTCTGTCCTCTATGACCATAGCTATGCAGATGGAAGCTAATGCAGCCAGCAGGAGAGTTAATTTCCACTTAAGCCTTTGGCATGGAGTATGGGGAAGCTGGAGATTAAGTTAATAGATCCACAGGAAAGTTTCGGGTCATCTATTCTGATTTCCAGTATCCCAGGCTATTCAATTCTTCATAGTTATCCTATATGAAGTTCAAGAAAGAGAATCCCCTTACAAACAATCAGAGCTCTTCAAGACTTTCCATCCCTAGGCACATACGACTCTGGACACACGCACCATGAGTTTGGCCTTGGAGATCTTTCAATGTTAACAGTACCTGCACATGAGCTTCAGGCCAAAGGCACAATGGGTGGCACAAACGCACAGTTCTTCAACTCCCTTATGGTAAACATGAATATGACTAAAGCCTACCATCCAGAAAAGGATCTATTCTTGATTTGAAAGCCTTCAAAAAATGTAAAATCACCACCTTCTCTGGTAGTTTGTTCCATTGCTTAATCACTCTGTTACAATGTTTGCCTTATTTCCAAGGTGAATGTCTGACTTGGAGCTTTAATGCTTTTTTCTACTTTTCTTCACCAAATTAAAGAGTGCAGTTAGTACTTTCCCCTCACCAAGTTTTAAAGCCACTTTATTATGTCATTTTTAATGCTTCTTGTTGACAATCTTTCTACTTTAGTTCTTTAAATCTCATTTTCTCTGCACATTCTTCATTTTTCCAGTATGTTTCTTCAAACGTAGACATCAGAAGCATGTGCAGCATTAAAAAAATCAGTATCAACAAAGCTGTACACAGACATGTAAGTCTACCAAGCAATTACAGCATCAGAAACAAACAAATTGACACAAGTACATAAACTGCATTCATACAGACTACTACAGAGGCCTTCATATTTAATTATACAAATCCTTGAAGTGGGAAAATTAATTACGTGTGTGCAATGATTCAGGACACGGTTTAGTAGTAGACTTGGCAGTGCTGGGTTAACAGTTGGGCTTGATGATCTTAAAGGTTTCTTCCAACCTAAAAATATCAATGATTCTGTGATTCTATGTTTGAGATGACAGATTTCTCCCCCACCTCAAAATACACACATTGTTTGTCTGCTTACAAAGTTCTTACCTACTAAGACCAGATCCATATACAAGTTTGTATTTTTCAGTTCTCTGACTCACCAGTTAGTACTTCGTATGATAAGGTACAGCAGCCAAATTTTACAGCGACTGTGGGCCATTTAAGTACCTACTGTACCTAGCTAAGAAATACCAATGACATTGTAACAATTTCTTGTAACCTTTGCTATATTTCTTTTCTATTTGCCCCACAGTTAAGCACAGAGATGGTAAAGCATCACTTCAAATACACCAAATACTATGTTTGAATTCACTAATTTTAAGTTTCTGGCAATTTCTTCCCTACAGTAGTAACAGGCTAAAAGCTGAGCAAAAAGCAGTGTGCAGTAATAAAAACAAAGAACAGAAACATGAAAACATATGTAATAATTAGCCAACTTACAAGCTGCATATTCTTGCATACAAGAAAAGCTGCTACTGGAACCCAAGTCCTGGGTTCTTCTCCTAATTTGAGCCCCAAAACCTTGCTTATCCTCTTTTAAATCTGATTGAGCAATCAAATTTTTGGTCTGATGACCTATTATTCCAGTACATGCACCAAGTAAATATGGTTTATAGCAGAACTCAGAACAGGTGCTGCATTTGTGGTCCAATCTATGAAGTTGGTACTTCGAAGGCAGAAAAGAACAGAACATGGTTCAAGGGGTCAAACATCTCTCTTTCTGATGCTTGCCATTTTTGTGCAAAATCTTGTAACCCAGAAGGTTAGCAGTTAAAATACAAATGAGCAAGTGTTATCTGTCCTTCTACAGGCCTAAAGTACTGGCTACACCCCCATTTTCAGACATGTATGTTTGAATTCAAACATGTATGTTTTCAAACTTATTATCAAGCATAAAACAAACAACAAAAATAAGATTTTTGGAAGCTGTTGGAAAGTCAGAACATTCTAATATTACAGGCACTTAATTTTTTTTTAGTTCCCAATGCTTTTCAAACTCACAATGTAACTTCAAAAATCCATCTGTTTTTCCCAGCAATTTACAAGGGAAGAAAAAGAAAAAAAAAAAAAAAGAAAACTATTCATCTTCAAGGCTGTGACATCTTACTGGAACAGCTGTTACTGTTAACATTGCAATAGTCTCTTTCTGACTTTATTTCTGATCCTTCTGAAGATAGATATGGGTTTATTAACTTCAGACACCAGCGCAAAACCACAACTAATGTACTGTATAATCATGCAATGTTTTTCCATAAGCATACAGGCTAAGAAAAGAAAAAACTGTAACTGTCTGAAAACATTGTTTAAATGACATGATTTATAACATCCTTGCAGGATTCTTACTCAAACATCATACAATTGAGCATTTTTTCAACCTTTCACTTCTAGTAATATATAAGAGCAGAGGGGAAAGAGCATTCCTTGCCAACTGGCCAATTAATAGCATTGCAACAGCTAACAGTGGTGATCATTTTTCTTTTAGCTTGAACAGTACTACAAATCAAAGCTTTTAGAAGCAGCCTGTTTCTTCCACAAAAATAACATTACTCCAATATTACAAATAAAAATAAACGCCCATAAACCAGGAAAAGTTACAAATTATCTCCTCCCTCTATCCACTCAAGCTATTCTACCTACCTCAAAGCGTAACTGCTCCCTCCAAATGAGGGTCTTCTTCAAACCCACCACTGTCCGTATTACTCATATGTCCTTTTCCTCCTCTGCACAGCCATCTGGGTCTCATTGAGAAGGAACAATAATCTCTGGGTTTGTATCCTAATGAACTTCTTGCCTGAGAAGCTGAGGGTTTCAGCCACTTACTTATAAGCATAGTAGATACTCTGTAGAAAATGTGCAAGAGACATGACACTGCCCTGAAAACCTTGCAATCTAATTCTGGTTGTTAGATAAATAATAAGAATAGTAAGAAAGCACACGAACTGCAGTGTAAGACCAAGGGCTTACTTTGTTCGACTTCAGAGCATGCAACTGTATGAACAAATGAGTAAAATTTTACAGTGGTAGTATTTCCCAAGACTATTATCAGAAAAAGCTTTCTCAATTTTAGAGGGAAAAAAAAAAAAAAATCTGGATTGCTTGTTATAGTCAGATTACAGAAGTTTAAATACTTGATGTAAACAAGAATGTAATACAAGAAATTGTGTTTACGTTTCCAGATATTTGTAACAAGATATTAACCACTCTTTTTCCACATGTCAAATTGTTGTTTGGGGTTTTTGGGGTTTTTTTTGGTTTTTAAGAGCTGTAGTGTTTTCCAACAGTTTTCATACATATCTGATATAAGCAAGCAACAAGTATTTACTATTCAGTTCCAGCACTATGAGAAAAATGTTTCACTGCAACTGGTTTACTCTCCTTTTAATTAAAAGGTAGAGTGCATAGTTAATACAGTAAAAATAATTAGGATATTAATTACGCTCAGTGCAGCAATATTTAATCCCTCCTGTCATAACCATATGGTAAGACAATTTTAAGACATGTTATAGAACAAGCATAAACTGTTTTAGGTGTTGAAAGACTTTCAGAATGTCTTGCAAAAGCATTTATGTGCAGAAGCATAAAACAAATTCCCCACTGATAATCCTTAGACAGACAGGTTCGCACCCCTAAATTTCTCCAGGCACCTACACTCTGCAGGGATAAGAACTCAGACCCCCTGTCTCATCATACTACTCTCCAACACGCTCTGCCTCTCGCCTTGTGAGTTGGTCTCTGCAGCAGTACAGCTTCAGAGTTCTGCAGAGTGCCACTCCCACCCATCCTCTGCCTCTCCATTCCAAAGCCCTGATAGTCACACCATACTGTGGGTGTTACAAAACATGGACTTTATTTCTCTCTGGCTATGGGCAGACCATCACCCGAGTCCCAGCATTCAGCATGAGATCATCATGGTCTTTACTAAGAAAGCTGACTATCCCAATTAAATTTCTCAGTCAACTCTTCTGGCTACAGCTTTCATCTACTTTCGTAGATTACTGTGCAACTGCAAAGAGGACATACATGCACAAGAAGTAGATGGCCGGCTAAATCAGTTCTGTGTATGCTTGCTCTGGGCTATTTTATTTTGTCATTCCAGCCCCAGGAAGTGCTTCAACCATGCAAAGGGCAGTGGCAGTGCCTCAGCAGCATCACTTCCTCAGTTGGTCAAATCCAAGGTAAGCCTATATATCCTCCAAGTTCTCTGCAAGAAGTTATCGTGCATTCAAGAGCTAACAGCTAAGCCACTGGTACACTGGAACAAACAAGAGGAATTAGAGATGTGTGCAAGGCTACAGTGATATGATATCATTGGCATCACAGGAACATGGTGGGATGGCTCCTATGGTTGGAGTGTTGGAATGGAAGGTTATAGGTTCTTTAGAAAAGACAGGCCCGGCAGATGGGGAGGGGGAGTTGCTATTTATGTCAGTGACAGGCTGGAGAGTATGGAACTCTGTCTGGGGATAGGTGATGAGTCAACAGAGAGCTTCTGGATCAGGGTCAAAGGAAAAACAGCAATGGGGGACATTACAGTGGGGATCTGTTACAGACCGCCCGACCAGGAGGACTCTGTGAAAGAAGCGCTCTGCAGACAGACAGAAATAGCCTCACACTCACAGGCCCTTGTCCTCATGGGGGACTTCAACCATCCTGGTATCTGTTGGAGGGACAGATCGGCCCAGCACAGGCAATCCAGGAGGTTCCTCGATGGTGTGGAGACAACTTCCTCTTGCAAGTAATAGAGGAGCTGACAAGGAAATGTTGACCTCGTGCTCACCAACAGGGAGGGACTGGTTGGGAATGTGATGCTCCAGGGCAGCCTTGGCTGTAGCGACCATGAGATGGTCAAGTTCGAGATCCTCAGGACAGCAAGAAGAGCACGCAGCAAGATCAACTGCCCTGGACTTCAGGAGAGCAGACTTGGGCCTCTTCAGGAACCTGCTCAGTAAGGTTCCATGGGATATAGCCCTAGAGGGCAGGGGGGGACAAAGACTGCCGGCTCATATTCAAGGATCACCTGCTACAAGTTCAGGAGTGTTGCGTCCCAACTAGAAGGAAGTGCAGCAGGAGGGCCAGGAGACCTCCATGGATGGATAAGGAGCTGCTGAGGAAACTTAGAG